CTTGTCTTCTGTCCCTTCCCTTTTCCTCTGGCAGTTCACATACACATTTTCTTGACACTCTGTACACAGTTTATACATTAGAGGTATTTTCAGGCCTTCTTAAAATACTTAGTGAACTTATTGCGAGTAAATACCTTATTTACTTTGGGAATTTTAGCACCTAGCATGGTGGCATCTAGTAAGTGGTTAAAAAAATATTTGGTGAATGTTTGAATGAATGAATGAGTTTGAATGAGTGTTTTAGTGTGGAATAAAGAAGTGTGGAATGATAAATGAATGATAATGAATGATAAATTAATATGAGAAATTAAAATTTAGTATTGATTACACAGTAGAAACACTGGTAAGAATTATACTTTTTATTGGGAGTGTTACAAGTAGCACTTCCATACTCTGGGCTGGAGGTTAATGAAGGCCCCTTCCATAAACAGTATGAGTTTTGGGGGCTGCCAATGTGTTGCAAGGTATGTGGCAAAGTGTATTCAATGATAACGTATCCTGAAAGTAATATTATAAATAGATATTGTGACCAGGCATGGTGGCTCATGCCTGTAATCCCAGCACTTTGGGAGGCCCAGGCAGGAGTCTTGCTTGAAACTGGGAGTTTGAGGTTGCAGTGAGCTATAATAATACCGCTGCAATCTAGCCTGGGGGACAGAGTGAGACCCTGTCACACACACACACACACACACACACACACACACAATGATATCATTACTTTACAATTGGTTCTCAGGGAACAATATCTGAGAAAGACAGTCACATAGTGTGCAGAAGCATCTGAAAATCTATACACAGGAGAATCTGCTTAGAGGGAATTTTGACCTTTTTTAGTTTCTTTTGAGTCAGAAGAAAACACCAGTATCTCTCTCTATCAAAATTCCTTCCCCTCATAAACACTAAAATCCTTCTAATTTCAAGAAGTCATATTTATAAATAGCCATCCTAACAGATGTGAGACAGATTATGAAATTTTTCCAAGATTGCCTTTTACCCTCTATTGAAACATTTGTGTCTTCTTGACTTCTTTCCACACCTTCCTCTTCCTCAAGGTGTAACAATACAATCCTCTTGAAAGGGTATTTCTGGTTATGATATTGCACACCAACTCACTTCATTTCCATGGCTCCGAAATCAGAACCCCACTATCTGTATATTACTTTGGGCTGTCACACAGGTTTCTGTTTCTGCACATGCTACTTTTATGTGTTCAAATAAACGTAACACATTTAAGGGCAGGGGCCATTCTTCACAGCCCTAGTCCTGAGTGCAATGCCCTGCACAGGGCTCAATAATTGCTGCAATGATTGCTAACCTCACTTCCCACACAGTTCTCACACAGAATCCACACACACTTAAAGTGACATATCTTCTCCATTAGGGAAAGTAACAAAAGTGCATGAAATATGTTCTTGAAGAAAAAAGATTTATCTGTAACTCGAAAATACAAGTCCATTTATTTGATTGGTAATTATAATTAGCATTTCTATATGTATGCTCATTAATTGTAGCAGTGATAATTATGCACAATTTCATTCTCTGCTTTTTCCCATGACTTTACATTATAAACATATGTACTATGTACCAATTCTATATTTTAAAATTTATTAATATTTTTATTAGATACTTACGATGATTGCGTAGAGATAAATCCTATTCTTCAAGTTTGCTCAATATATTTACCATGCAATGACTAACATAAGGTAAGTACAAAAGAGGCTCACATAAAGAATGATGATAGGATGCCAGAAACAGAAGAGAATAAATACAATTGGTAGAATGATGTTGGAGAGAAAGAACATCATGGCAATTTGAGCATAATGAAAAGTGGTGGCTTCTGTCCTTGCTTACTTACTTGCTTCTTTGTTTATAATATTTTTCAGCTTATAAATTGAGGCATGATTGACAAATAAAACTTCTGTATATTTAAGGTGTACTATATGTTGTTTTGATATACATATACATCATGAAATGATCACCACAATTAAACTAATTAACATATCCATAACTTCACATAGTTGTTATTATTATTTTGCTTTGGTGAGAACACTTAAGATCTACTCACTTAGCAAATATCAAGTACAAAATACATCATTATTGACTATAGTCACCAAGTTATATATTAAGTCTCTAGTACTTATTCATCTTGTAAGTGCACATTTGTATACTTTCAGCAATATCTTCCTTCTTCACCACCCAGCTGCTTGCTAGAAACTACCATTCTACTCTCTGTCACTTATATTCCCTATATAAGTGAGAGCAGACTATATCTGTCTTTCTGTGCCTGGTTTATTGCATGTAACATAATGTGCTCCAGGTTTATGTATGTTGTTGCAAATGACGGGATTTCATGTTTACTAAGGCTGAATAATATGCATGCATATATATATATATATGTATATATAGATATCTCATTTTTTATCCATCCATCTGTCTAATAAGGAACAAGGACATTCATATAATATTGAGAAACTTTTATGTGTAATGGAGTATACTCCATAGTATTGGGAAATATGGATGAGAAATGGAGGCTATGATATAAATTTGATATAAACAAATACAAATTTGATAAGGAATGAGGATGCTTGTATAATATGGAGAACTAAGGGGAAATTCTGATAATGAATATATAATGCTGGAATATAATATCCTGGGAATTTTTATGAGAAATGGAGACACTAATATGTTTTGAAAGATTTTCATTTAGAATCATGGCAGAGTCATTACATTGTGAAACTTTCAATGAATAAGGGGGCAATGATGTAATGTTAAAAAAAATGATGATAGGAAAAGGGGCACTACTACAATATTGAAAGTGGAATGTGTACTCTGACATAAAATGGGGAAAAGAACTTTCTATGAGGAATGGGGACACTGATATAACATTTGAAAATTTACCATGAGAAATTGGGGTCTGATATAATATTTGAAATTTCTGATGAGGACTATGGGCAATGGTGTCATGTGGAAGTAATCGGGTCACTGGTATATATTAGAAAACTTCCAATGAAAAGTAGGCCCCTGGTGTATTATTGGGAACCTTCTGATGAAAAACAAGGACATTTATTTAACATGAGAAAATTCTAATGAGGAATGGGATTTTGCTATATTATTGGGACACTTCTGATGAGTAATGGAGGCATTGGTATTATTTGGGGAAATTATTTTTATTTATTTAACTCTAATCCTATGACAGATTAACATTCAAGGAAATTCTGATGAGAAATGGGTACTCTGCTTTTTAAAATCTCAGGTACTGTTACCACATAGGAAAATTTTCTGTTTAGGAATAGGGATATTTATATAATCTGGGACAACTCTGATATAATGATATTAGAGAATGTCTTATGAGGAATAGGGGCATTGTAATATGTGGAAACTTCTGATGAGGATTGGGTGCAGTGGTATAGTAAAGAAAAACTTCCACACTGGAGAGAGAACACTCGTATCATGTGGAGAAACTTCTAATGGGGAATTGGCACATTGCTAAATAAAAAGAAACTTTGGATAATGAGTAAACCAGTGGTATGATAATTGAGAATCTTCTATGAGGAATAAGGCCCCTTGTAGGGGACTGACATATATTTTCCTAGTTTAAGAATTAAAGTTAGTGAGTAATATACCTGTTCTGCCCAGAGTATTTGAAAGTAATCTGTTGCGGACAGGCTCCCTGTGATAAACAAAGGTGTTGCCTAGAGGCATAACAAAGGACCTGAGCTATGAGTAGCAAGAGCAGCCCTACCCCACAGCATTGGGGGTCTGGAGTCCACACGATAAACATATTGTTCCTGTGATTGCTGCATACACCCCATAAGATGGCTGGTTAGCCAATGACGGGTAAGACCACTCAAGGGATGGGTGACCTAAGCCAGGTACAGTCACCAGGGTTCAGCTGAAGATCTTAGAGGGTCACCCAAAGAGAAGCTGGGGATGAGAAATGCCCCCTGTGGCTCACCTTGCCCATCCTTGCTAATCTTTCGGTCCTTTATCTATGCCTAGTGTCTAGAGCAACCACCTTGAGATTCTGAGTCAGGGGATGTCTGTTTCCCTAAGCCTATGCTTTCTGGCATTAATGGCTATTGCTGCCACGCCTGGGCAGTTAACAAGGAACTAATTTTAATCTTTTAGAGTATAAAAATAAAATGGACCCAGTGTATTATCACTCGAGTCAACCGTCTGTCTGTGCGTCCGTGTTTTTCTTTGTGTTTTGCACGTTTGTGTTTTATGTTCTGTGTTCATCCTCTGTCCTGCAAATGGGCCACGACAGCCCCTGGTAATCTACTGGGATAATTCTGATAGGGTGAAGTCACTAGAAAGATATTAGGAAGCATTAAAATATTTCCTAATGATATGTAGTGGAATACCTCATCAGAAGTTTCCCAATATTTATCCAGTGACACTATTATTTATCACATTTTTGTATATTACACCATTGGCTCTAATCCTAATAAGAAGTTTCTCCATGTCATAACAGTGTCCCTATTTCTTGTAATATGGGAACATTTTGATTAGGAATGGAAGCACGAGTGTTTAACTTGGACACTTTTGATGAGGAATAAGACCACTGGTATTATACAGGGAAATTCTGATGAAAAATAGAGGCACAGGTATAACTTTGGAAAACTAATAAGGAATGGAGGCAATGGTAGTATCATATCCCCAAATTTCTGATGAGAAATGAAGGTAGTGGTATAATATTGTGAAACTTCCAGTGCAGAATCTGTTCACCAGTTAATATTGGAGAAAGTGAGCACTGCTATTATATTGGGAAATATCTGATTGTGGGTACACTGGCACAAAATGTATAATCTTCTGGGGAGGGTTGAGGACACAAGGAACCTTCCAAAGAGGAACATGGCGCTGGCATCATATTTGAAAGCTTACAATGATTGACAGGAGCAATGAGGTAATACAGAGGAATTCTGACGAGGAACAATGGCGACTGTGTGACACTAGGAAACTGCTGCTGGGGTGGGGACATTTGCATTTTATGAGATGATTCTGATGATAAATGGGGCACTGGAATAATATCAGTTAGCGTCTTATGAGGAATGGAGACATTCACATATTATTGGTAAATTGTTTTATGACAAGTGGTGGCACTGTGGATAATACTGGAAACTTCTGGTAAAGAATGGAGAGTCTAAAGTATTGTTGTGAGACTTCATGGGAATTGGGCCATTGATTTACTCTCAGAAAACTTACAATGAAGGAGCTTGTGTGCTGGTATAATATTTGGAAACATTCATGAGGTCTGAGTGGTATAATATTAGGAAACTTCTAGTGAGGAGTGGGAACACTAGCATAATATGGGGAACATTCCAATGAGGAATCGTATAATATTGAAAATATTTCTATAGTGAACTTGTATAATATTGAGAATTTCTGATATAATATTAGGAAACTTATGATGAGGAATGGGGGCATGTCTATAATATTAGAAGACATCTTACAAGGAATTAGTGCACTGGGGTAATACCAGAAAAATTCTGATGAGAAATGTGGGACTCATATAGTATTTTACATGGTAAAAATGGGAATAAAAGAGAAGGACATATGTTTAACATAATTTACATATTCTCTTTTAAGCATACTGATGAGAGAAAATTTACTTTATTATTGCAATTTTACTTGCACATAATTTATTCATTGAAAATATTGATTTTATTTGAATATATATCATTTATAACATTAAATGGCACTAAATAGTTTTCATTCCTTTTGCTCATGAAACTCTTTTCAGCTATTTTCTGTTTTTGATATTTTTTTCTTCCAGCTTTATTAAAGTATAATTGACAAATAAAAATTATATATATTAAAAATGTACAATGTGATTATTTGGCATACATTTACATTGTGAAATGATTATCATAAATAAATTAATTAAAATAACAAAGGTACCTATTCTCACCATTTCAATTCAATATATTTCTTACTGGAAGTCCTAATCAGAGAAATCAGACAAGGAAAAAAATAAAGGGATCTAAATTGAAAAGGAAGAAGATAAATTGTCTCTGTTTGTAGATGACATGATCTTATATAAAGAAAACTCTAAAGACTACACCAAAAAAATTGTTAGAACTAATAAATGAATACAGTAAAGTTGCAGACTATAAACTCAACACTCAAAAATCTGTAGCATTCCTGTACACTAACACCAAACTATCTAAAAATAAATCAAGAAAACAATCTCATTTATTAAATACAATAGAAACAAAAAATAAAATACTTAGGAATAAAGTTCACCAAGGAAGTAAAAGATCTTTATACTTAAAACTGTAAGACATTGATGAAAGAAATCAAAGAAGACACAAATAAATGGAAAGATATTCCATGTTCATGGGCTGAAAAAATTAATAATGTAAAATGTCCATACTACCCAAAGCAATTTGACTGAATGACTCAATTGTTACTTAGTGCAATCTCTATCAAAATTCCAATGGCATTTTTTCACAGAAATAAAAACAAATTCTAAAATTCATATGGAACAACAACAAAAGCTCAAATAGCCAAAGCATTCCTGAGAATGAACAACAAAGCTGGAGGCTTGACACTTCCTGATTTAAACTATATTACAAAACTATAATAATCAAAATACTATGATACTGACACATAGACACACAGACCAAAGAAACAAAATAGGGAGCACAGAAATAAACCCGCACGTATATAGTCAATTAAACTTTGATAAGGGCACCAAGAACACACAATGGGGAAAGGATAGTCTCTTTAATAAATAGTCCTGAGAAAACTGGATATCCCCATACATAAAATTGGACCCTTATCTCATACCACACACAACAATTATTATAACTCAAAACGGACTGGTTTAAATGTAGGACAGGAATCTGCAAAATTCCTACAAGAAAAGGTAGGAGAAAAGCTCTTTGTGAAAACTGCAGGCGAGTGGGTGGCCTGGCAGGGCAGAAGGCGGACCGCGCACTCCGAAGGCAGCACTGTGGATTTGCAGAGAAGCAGCGCGGGACACAGTGCAGAAAAGAGGTGACGTGGCCGGAGGTACCTCGCAAGGATTGGAGAGCACAGGAACGGTGGAGAGCAGAGCACGGGAGGGATCTGGCCGGAGAACAGCCCGCGCCCACAGACCTCCTACCTGCTGGGACAGGGGCGCCTGCAGGGTGGAAGCCCCGGACGCGAGCCCCAGCCGGCCTGCACTCCGGGGCTCCGTGCCGGGACTGCACCAGGCTGGGGAAGGGGTGGACTGAGTCGGGGCCTCATGGGCTGCGCTCTGGTATTTGAGAACAGGCAACTTGGCCCTGGAAAACAGGAGGACCAGGATGTGGGAATTGACCGGAGAGCAATGGGAGCCCACCCAAAAGGCTCTGGCAGCCGCTTCAGCCAGGCTCTGGGCAGGGCAGGGAGGGCGAGGAGCCTCTGCTCAGCTGACCTGCATCTGCAGGACCCTGGTGCCTGGGAGGCACATTGCAACCTCTCCATCGCGGCCTGTCTGCCCGGTTGCTGCATGTCTGCTTGGCCCTATCGCCTGCTCTCCAGGTCTGGCCCCACACGTTCTCAGGCCCCCTGCTTGGAGGTCCTGTTTGGAAGATCGGTTTCAGGCTTCACCCCACTCCCGGCCTGGGGCTCTCAAGCTGGGGCACAGCTGGCTCTACCCTGAGGGCCACCAGCAGTCACTTGCGTGAGCGTTGGGTTTCTATTTTATCTCGTATTTCCTTGTGCTTTCTTACAATCCATGTTCAAAATGCTGTGACTGTCATTTCAATATCTGATTTTGGTTGGGGTCTTTTGCTAGACATTTGGTGTTCTTTTTTGGGGGTGTCACTTTTCTCCGATTCTTTATACTTCTGGAGTTGTTTCATTGATTCCGTCTCATTTGGAGCAGCTGTTACTTCTCACCTCTCACAAAAATCAAGTCAGATGGATAACACACTTAAACTTAAGGCATGAAACCATAAGAATTCTAGAAGAAAATGTTTAAAAAAACTCTTATAGACATTGGCTTAGGCAAAGAATTTATGAAGAAATTCCAAAGGCAATCACAACAACAAAAAAAATGAATAAATGGAACGTGATCAAATTATAAAGCTTCTGCACAGCCAAGGAAACTATCACTAGAGTGAATACACAACCTACAAAATGGGAGAAAATATTAGCATACCACACATCGAGCATAATAACTAGATAATGAGATAATAACTAGAATCTATATAAAGCTCAAGAAAATCAATAAGAAAAAAATCAAACGACCCCATTAAGAAGTGGGCAAAGTACATGAATAGAAACTTTTCAAAAGAAGACAGACTAATGGCCAAGAAACACATGAAAAAACGTTCAACATCTCTAGCCATCAGGGAAATGCAAATAAAAACCACAGTTAAATATCAGTTAACTCCAGCAAGAGTGGCTTTTTTTATCAAAAAGTCCCCAAACAACAAATGTTGGCGTGGATGTGGAGAGATAGGAACACACCTACACTGCGGGTGGGACTGTAGACTAATACAGCCTCTATGGAAAGCAATATGGAGATACCTTAAAGAACTAAAAGTAGAATTACCATTTGATCCAGCAATCCCACTGCTGGGTATGTAGCCAAAAGAAAAAACATCATCTTATAATAAAGACATCTGCACTTGAATGTTTAGAGCAGCACAATTCACAATTGCAAAGACGTGGGAACAACCCAAGCCCATCAGTACATGAGTGAATTAATAAAATGTGGTATATGTATACCATGGATTATTATTCAGCCAGAAAAAAACATTGGTAATCTAACACCTCTTGTATTATCCTGGATGGTGCTAGAACCCATTCTTTTAAGTGAAGTATCACAAGAATGAAAAAAACAAGCACCCCATGTACTCCCTATCAAATTGGTACTAATTGATCGACTCTTATGTGCACATATGGAAGTAACATTCATAGGGTATCAGGCAGGAGGGAAGGGGGAAGGGAGGATGGGTAAATTCACATCTAATGGGCATGGTACTCACCGTCTGAAGATGGCATGCTTGTAGCTCTACTTGGATGGTGCAAAGGCAATACATGCAACTTCAATGTTTGTATCCCTATAATATTTTCAAGTAAAAAAAAAAATAAAAACTATAAGATTTATCCATAAAAAATCAGCTCCTTGATATTGATCTTGGCAATGATTTTTGGATCAACACCAGAAGCATAGTTAAAAAAAGCAAAAATAAGCAAACAGGATTGCATGAAACTATAAAGCTTCTATACAACAAAGGAAAGATACCTAATGTACAATCAACATAATGAAAATGGAACCTATAGCATGAGAGAAAATATTTGCAAAGCATATATATCATACGGGGTTCATGTCCAGTATATATAAGGAATTATTGCAACTCAAAAGCAAAATAACAAATAACTTGATGAAAAAATGGGCAAAAGAACCAAATAGATATTTTTACAAAGAAGTTCTCAATATATCTTAACACCTCTGCCTTTTCCTATTTATTTTCTCTAAATCAAATATACTTCCCTTCCACCATCTTAACATGTTCAACTACTACCATCTTTCAACATCCTCATGTAATTTTCTGCTTCACTATAATATTTATCATACTGTCCTACTTTCCTTAAGCAATAAGTTCAGCTAGAGATGTCTGGTAGTTCTTTGAGTTACCCTCTTCATCGCTTACATTATTTAGCACATTGCATAGCAACACACAGACCTGCAGGGTAATATTATCTGTAATATACCATCATAGTGATTTGCTCATATGTGAATAAATAAATCAAATAAAATGTTAGATATGTTGAAAATATGTTTGTGCTGCATGTTAAGGATTAAAGTATGCAATATAACTGTATGCTATTGGGATTTCAAAACTATATATATGGTGAAAACTTGAATGGGAATTATTATAGATCTAAACCAATTAAAATTTTACAGTATTAAATGAAGCGAGCCATCCCAGGGTCAGATTGGCTGAGACCCCAAGTCAGCAGAACGGGAGCCCATTGCTTGTTCCCACGATTAGCAGGATGCGGCTTGTTGACCGGCTGAAGAAACTGTTTCTCCAGGCAAAGGGCCAAGGACCTGTGGCCTCGCATGCGAGCAAAGGTTGCCTGGTAACCAGCACGCGGTGCTTGGCACTTGCAAGACAGTCTAGGATTCAAGGTCTCTCACTCGAGCCAAGATTGTTTGTTATCTGAAAGCGGTGCAAAACATCAAAGAGACCTCTTGTAGAAGGCCATGCTTTTTTGCTTGACTGGAAAAGCAGGTGTTGTTGGCCGTGGGAAGTCACGTACCAAAAAGTAGCTGGGAAAGTAGCTGGCATGAAAAAATAGCTGCAGGACGCTTGCCTAATTAAACTGTATATAATAAATTGACAAGCACTATTCCCGTGCTGCAGTCTGAAACTGTCTCTTGTCTCTGTGTCCTTTTTTCTTCCAGGGCTGCAGCCAGTTCTGTCTGCCTGTGTCTTATGTATATGTTCTATGTGTGTCATCCCCCGTTCTGTAATCAGGCCATGACAAGTGGCTCAGCGAGCAAGGTCCTGAAGCCTGGAGGTGCTTGAATTCTGAACGAAAGCTGCATCCTTTCAGCACGGCGGGACCAAGATGATAACCCCTTTGGCTAATGGTGAGTGGCACCCGACAGGGGACTCCTGGGAAAGAACAGGGTCTTGAACCCTGGGGGGTCTTGAACCCTGAACTTAGGAAAAATGGGAAATACCCCCTCCACCACAGAGCAGGAGTACAGGAAGTTAATTCAAGGATTATTAAATTCAGTGGGGGTTGAAGTAAAAGAAAATACATTAAAACAGTTATTTGCTTTAGTGCAACAGCACTGTTGCTGGTTTCAGTGTCAGCCTCAAGTACAGTTAACTCTTCATAGCTGGCAACAAGTGGTTAAAGCTTTTCGTCTCGCTCATCAGCATGGAGAGACTATTGAACTTAAGATCCGGAATGTTTGCAATGCAATTTCCCAAGCTCTATGCCTTTTGCAGACAGATTCAGAGATAACTAGCTCAGATAAAGCTGATTCAGATGAAGATTCAGGGCAAGAATCCCTCCACCGTATTCCTGGTCTCCTTTAATACCTAGAGACATGGAGGAGGAACTTCCAGATGGAGAGCCTCCAGGAAATTCCCTTGAATTACCTAGGCGGTCAGAAGTCCAGGGAATTATCTCTTTACTCAGAAAAAGTAATTCCGCCACCGCCATCCCCCCTCGGGGCTTACCCAGCTTAAACCTTGGCACTGCTGGTTGGGCGTTCTTTTAAGTTTCCTATAATTACCTAGGGGCCCAATGATGATTTTCTGCCCCCTCCTGATTTTGCTGATAATCTTTCACTGGTTCCTAAAACTGGAGCCACTTTCACTTTTCCTCAGCCTTCGTTTTCCACGTTACTCAACAAGAGTTTGGCCCCGGCCAGGACCCAAATTATCCCCAGGGAGGAGTGAATGCTGCTTATCAAGCTTTGCAGTACAAATTTTTAGAAGAGTTGAAACAAGCCGTTCAGGGGTACGGCCCACAGTCTCCTTTTGTTACTGGGTTGACTGATGCTTTTTCCAGTGAAAATGTCTTACTCCCGTTACACTGGGAGCATTTGGGAACAACGGTCTTAGAAAGTCCACAATGGCGGCAATGCGTAGTTGGTGGGTCGAGGGAGCTAGAATACAGTCCCGCCTCAATGCTTGGCAACAACCCCCTGCACCTACTGAGGATGAGCTCATGGGGTCAGGCCAGTATGCCACCTTGGAAGCACAGGCTGCACTGGGTGATCCAGCCTTATCTCAAGCTAAACTGATTTTTTTAAGGGCTTGGAAAAGAATTGAAACTTCTGGTACTTTGGCACCTTCTTTTGCACAAACTATGCAGTGTCCCGCTGAGCCACATACTGATTTTCTGTCTCGTTTAAAAGATGCTGTGCAAAGGAGTGTCAGCTCTACTGAGGCGGCTTCTCTTATTCTCCAGTCTGTAGCTGTGGAAAGTGCCAATGCTGATTGCCAAAAGATACTGCGTCCTCTAAAGGCTAGCGGCGCCTCCCTGGACGAGCATGTTCGAGCTTGTGCAGGTGTGGGTGGGCTGCTTATCACGCCACCTTATTAGCTGGAGCTATTCAAAAGGGAAGTAATCGGCCCACCTGTCTTAATTGTGGAAAAGTCGGACATGTGAGAAAAGAGTGCAGGTGGGGCCAGGGAGATAATGCTGGCCCTGTGCCCAGGGCATCAAGGAAACAGCCCTCAAGGTTGTGTGAGCGATGTGGGAAGGGGCCACGCCGGGCTAATGAGTGTAGATCAGAATTTGACAAGAATGGCAACCCTTGGCCACCTCCTAATGATGGGAATTCGGGAAACTTCCCAGGGGGCCCTCAGCCTAGGGCCCCTACAACAATATGAGGCCTCAGTTTCAGCAATACCCAATGCAATGGGACAGCTCATCAACTGAGAAAATCCCTGAAAGTCACTCAGCTCTATGCTGCCACCTGGGGAGCGCAGCGGGAGATCTTGCTGTGATAAGAACTACACATTGACCACCGCAGGTGGAGTTCACAGACTGTCCACTCAGGTCTATGGGCCTCTTCCCCAAGGGAAGGTGGGTTAGTAATTGGCAGAAGTAGCTGTGCGCTTAAAGGCATATTTATACATCTGGGAGTTACTGATCCTGATTATACTGGAGAGATTCAAATCATGGTTTCTGCCTCTCATACAACTCAAATTTTTGCAGGGACTCGTATAGCTCAACTTTTGCTTTTGCCTTTTGCTCCTTTTCCTGCAAGAAATGCCAGCCGCAAAGGAGGTTTTGGCAGCACAGGAACAAAGGTGTTTGGGGAAACTCTTATGCAGGGTTCCCGGCCTGTCCTTAACCTTACTATTGCTGGCCGTTCTTTTGAGAGCCTGGTGAATATGGGGCAGATGTTTCTGTTATCGGTCTTGCTCAATGGCCTCCTGACTTGCCAATGGTTTTAGTCCCCACTGTTCTTTCTGGGTTAGGACAAGCTCGATATGTCTATCGTAGCAATGATACATTTGACTGTGTGGGGCCAGAAGGCCAAACAGCTTCTTTACAGTTTTCTATCACTGACATTGCTGTGAACCTATGGGGGCGAGATTTACTACATCAATTTGGAGCTTTTATGACTATTCCCCATCTTTCCCCTAATGTTGAGAATATGATGTTAAAGATGGGATTTAATCCTAATCAGCCTTCAGAAAAATCCACTTCTTTAAACTAATTGCCACCGCCCACGAGATCCCTCAAGCTCTTCCACTCCAGTGGAACACAGCTAAACCTGTGCGGGTTGAGCAGTGGCGTCTGACAAAAGGAAAGCTCGAGGCATTAAAAATACTGGTGGCTGAACAGCTTAATGCTGGACATATTGATCCCTCTACTTCTCCTTGGAATTCTCCTGTTTTTGTTATTAAAAAGAAATCTGGAAAATGGCGATTTCTCACAGATCTTCGGGAGATTAATAAATGTATCCAACCCATGGATCATTTGCAGCCTGGCCTGCCCCTGCCTTCCATGATTCCAGCTGGATGGTCTTTGATGGTTATAGATCTTAAAGATTGCTTCTTTACTATCCTCCTACAGCCTTCATTGTGTGAATGATTTGCCTTTACTATACCTGAATATGATAATGGCCACACCACTGAAAGATATCAGTGGCGGGTGCTTCCTCAAGGCATGCTAAACAGCCCTACTTTGTGCCTAGAGTTTGTTGATCGCGCCATAAATCCTGTTCGTGTTCAGCACCCTGCCGTTGTGTTATACCATTACATGGGTGACATTCTCCTTGCTGCTCCATCACAAACTTTCCATGATGCTGCCTTTGTTGATCTTCAGGAGCACCTTAAGCTTTTTAAATTGTTATTGCCCCTGAAAAGGTTCAAACTACCCCACCTTTATATTACTTCAGATATTGTCTTTCAGAAACACAGATTTGACCCCAAAAATTACAAATTCAGAGAGATAATCCTAAAACTCTTAATGATTTTCAGAAATTACTTGGAGATATTAATTGGCTTCGGCCATTGCTTGGTATACCTACTTATGCATTGCAACACCTGTTTGCTACCCTCGAGGGTGATTCTGCCCTTGACAGCCCCCAATCTCTCACTCCACAAGCAGAACAAGAATTACAGTTTGTGGAGCAGCGTCTCAGTTCTGGTTTCCTTGCCTTTTTTGAACCCTCATTCCCTGTTACACTGTTTCTTTTTCTTACTTTTCATTCCCCTTCTGGATGTCTAGGACAGACCCACGGAATTCTTGAATGGATACTTTCACCAAATCAACAGAATAAAAAGCTCCTAACATATGTGGATAAACTTGCCCAGCTGATCATCAGAGGTTGTCGGAGATGTGTCAACTCTCTGGACAAGATCCTTGTAAGATTGTTACTAGTTTAAGTTCTAAAGATATTCAAACTAACTTTGAATTTTCTACTGCTTGGCCAGTGGCCTGTGCAGATTACAGTGGCAGCTTTGATAACCATTATCCCCCACATAAGCTGTATTCTTTTTTGCAGGTACACACAGTCCTCCCACTGTCTCCCATTGCTTCTCGTCCTCTCCAAGGATCTACTTTTTTTTTTTTTTTACAGATGCTTCTAGCCCTCAAAAACCAGGTTATTGGAGTTCTACAGCACAGGAAGTTGTTACTTCTCCTTTCGCATCTGTACAATAGAGTGAACTATATGCAATGTTTGGTGTTACAAGATTTCCCTTCTGAGCCTTTAAACATTGTCAGTGATTCTCAATATGCTGTTTATGTTACTTCTCAACTTCCCACTGTCTCTTTACCACTTAACTCTCAGACAATTTTACAATATTTGTTCTCTCATTTGCAAACTCTCCTTCAAGCTCGCCATTTTCCTGTTTTTATTGTGCATATTCGATCTCATTCTGCATTACCAGGTCCTTTGTCTAAAGGCAATGAAAATGTTGATTCTCTTCTTGTCACCCCCGTTCAAGAACCCCTTACTGAACATGCTCTTCACCATACTAATGCTAAAGGCCTTCAACGTTGTTTTTCTCTCTCCTGTAAGCAAGCCTGTGCAATAGTTCGTTCTTGTGCTACCTGTGCTGCTCTCACCCTCCCTTCCTTCCCACCTGGGTGCAACCCACGTGAATTACAAGGGAACCATATTTGGCAAATGGATGTTACTTATGTTGCTTCCTTTGGGCGACTCCGTTATGATCACCACACTATTGGTACCCATTCTCATTTTCAGTGGGCCATGGCCCAAAGCTCTACAAAGGCTGTCATTACTCACCTTTATTCTAGTTTTGCAGTCATGGGGCTTCCAGAAATTCTTAAAACTGACAATGCTCCTGTGTAGCTCTCGCAAACTTGCTGATTTCCTTGCTTTGTATTCTGTCCGTCACATTACAGGCATTCCCTTCAGTAGCCAAGGTCAAGCAATCATTGAACGTGTCAATCGCACTCTTAAACTTCAGTCACAAAAACAAAAAGGGGGAGTCCCAGAGTCTCCTCATTGTCACCTACTCCGAGCCCTCTTTACTCCCAATTTTTTAAATCATTGGCAGACATTAAATTCCTCCACAGCGGACCGTCATTTTGCCTCTTCATTTTCGCCAACAGAAAGAGTCTGTGACCCCGTGTATGTTTCTACACCCACAGGGGAGTCGGTGGGGGGTGAAGTTCTACAGTGGGGTCGGGCTATGCTTATGTCTCCACAGAGCGAGGCTCTGAGTGGGTTCCCACGCGACGCCTTAAGAGAAGATATGGCGAAGAGAATCCGGACCGAGGAGATCCTCAGGGAATTCAGGAACCTCTCCGTGAAGGCGCGGAGTCCAACACCCAGGACAATGTGTGCGGTCCCCCCAACTTGGGGTCAGCTCAAGAAGTTGACTCAGGAAGCAGAAAAGATTGTATTCCAAGTCCAGCAGCCATGTAATCCGAGCACCGTGTTTTTGGCTATGCTGGCCATAGTCACTTGCCAGGTGGGGCTTACGAATTCCTCACATGTCTACTGGGCATATGTGCCTTACCCTCCTTTGTTTAAGCCATTTCCTGGGGAGAGCCTGAAGTTCTGGTTTATACCAACGACTCTGACTGGATGCCGGCCCCTTATCAGTCATATTCATTACACCCTAGTGAGGGAGGTCAGCTGGTCTCTAATTATTCACTTAGTGCAGAAGGATATCCCATTTGTTTTGGGGCTAGTGCTCATTGAATATTTCTCATGAAGCATGGGGCCCGCAGTATGATACTTCATCTTTTGCAGCCCTTACCGTGCTCTTGTCAGTCAGAGGACTTAGGGGTGTGCCTTATATATATCTGAAGGGCAGTCACTATTGCCTCTTTGCTCCATGCCTCACATCGAACCTCCGTTGTCTCATATAGAGAGGAGTCGATGTAGAGGGAAGACTTTAAAATTGTTACATGATCATCCCAAAATTGTAGATTGGAGTCCTCATAGTGACTTTCATGAAAAGTTCTCTGGTCATTCCGTGTGATGGCATCGGAAGGGAAACCATTTAAGCGCCACCGCCAACGAGACCATCATGTGGCATGATAAAGGCCTTTCTCCTCCTCAGCCCCACCTGTTAGGAACTCTACACATGCAAGGACAGATATGGAGATTGTTGGCATCCGGAAAGCACATAAATATTAGGCTTGGTAACATGTCTTTTAATAATTCTGTAGGTTTTCAAGTTCATCTCCACTGTAATCTTTCACGGTCTCTTCTAGCCTGTGTATTCTATCCCTACTTGTTGTTGATGGGCTCAATCCAGTGGAATGAGTCCACAGGACAAGTCTCCTGCCTTAATAATTGTTCTTTATTTACTTGTCTTAATCACACCTCTTGGGCAGGATTTAATCCCCGTGCCCAGAGTTTATATATTTTAAAAGCTAGAACAGAGCTGTGGCTTCCTGTTAACTTGTCCAGACCTTGAAGTGAGTTGGCCATGATCACTGCTCTTCTTAATAAAGTAACTTCTTTGACCCACAGAGCCAAGAGAGCCATAGGTCTTATAGTTACTGCTGTTGCAGGTTTAGTTGCCTTTGCTGCCACTGCTGCTACTGCAGGGATGGCACTGCAGCACTCAGAGCAGACTGCTGATTTTATTCGCAAGTGGCATGAGGACTCTCATCAATTATGGCAACATCAGTAGGAGATTGATAGTCGGTTGGAAGGAGAGATCCTCCATTTACAAAGCACTGTTCAGTGGCTTGGTGATCAAATTCAGGTTTTGACCACTCAGTCATTTCTTCCATGTGATTGGAATTCTTCTAAGTTCTGTGTCACCCCTATCCCTTTTAATAGCAGTAAACGTTGGCAGGCCTTAGGGCATATACTGACTGGAAGTCGCAATTTGACTGCTGATCTTCAGAGTCTTGATCGAGAGATTACAAGCACCTTCCAGGAGAATCTTCCAGAATTTAATGAAAATGAGTTTTTCCAAGGCCTAGCCAGCCACACAGCCACACGATTACACAGTTAAAAACATTATTTAGTGGAATAGGAGTTAATATAGGATTTTTAGGGCTCTTAACCCTTTGTATTTTTTTAGTCTACAAATGCTGGTGCTACCACCGAGTAAAAAGAAAACAACAGTCTTATGATATTATGACCATTTTTCAACATATCCTGCTCAAAAAATTAAAACCAGAAGGGGAAGCTGAAGCGAGCTGTCCCAGGGTCAGATTGGCTGAGACCCCAAGTCAGCAGAACGGGAGCCCATTGCTTGTTCCCACGATTAGCAGGACGCGGCTTGTAGACTGGCTGAAGAAACTGTTTCTCCAGGCAAAGGGACAAGAACCTGTAGCCTCGCATGCGAGCCAAGGTTGCCTGGTAACCAGCACGCAGTGCTAGGCCCTGCAAGACAGTCTAGGACTCAAAGTCTCTCACTAGAGCCGAGATTGTTTGTTATCCGAAAGCGGTGCAAAACATCAAAGAGACCTCTTGTAGAAGGCCATGCTTTTTGCTTTGACTGGAAAAGCAGGTGTTGTTGGCCGTGGGAAGTCACGTACCAAAAAGTAGCTGGGAAAGTAGCTGGCATGAGCAAATAGCTGTGGGACTCTTGCCCAATTAAACTGTATATAAATAAATGACGAGCACTTTTCCAGTGCTGCAGTCTGAAACTGTCTCTTGTCTCTGTGTCCTTTTTTCTTCCGGGATTGCAGCCAATTCTGTCTGTCTGTGTCTTATGTATATCTTTTGTGTATGTCATCCCCCATTCTGTAATCAGGCCACGACAATTAAATAATTTTTAACTTATCCATCAAGATTTAATGGATTTAAATTTTGTGGCACATATGCACAATGTAATACTATTCAGTCTTTAAAAAACATAAAATTCTGTCATTTGTGATAATATGGATGAACCTGAAGGACATTATGTTAGGTGAAATAAACAAGGCACACAGAGACAAATGTCATATGATCTCACTTTTATGTGTGGAATCTAAAAAAGTTGAACTCATAGAAGTAGAGAGTAGAATGGTGGATACCAGAGGCTGGAAGTTGGGAGAAATAGGAAAGGGAAGACATTGGTCAACAGGTACAAAGTTTCACTTAGATAAGAGGAGTGAGTTCTCATATTTTATTGCACAGCATGGCAACTATAGTTATTAATAGTGTATTATATATTTTAAAATAGTTAAGAGGATTTTAAATGTCTCACCACAAAGAAATGATAAATATTTGAGGTGATTGATATGCTAATTATTCTGATTTGATCATTCCATAATGTATACATGTAACAAAACATTACATTTTACCCCATAAATATAATTATTTTTAATTAAAAATAAAATAAAACTGTTTAAAAGAGAAGAAAATACTGTCATGTGCTACAACATTGATGACTGTTGGTGACATTATGTTAAGTGAAATAAGCCAATCACAGAAGGACGAATGTTGCATGATTCCACTTGCATGAGGTATCTAAAGTAGTCAAACTCATAGAAACAGAAAGTAGAATGGTGGTTCCAGTGACTGGGGAGAGAAGAAAATGGGGAGTTGTTCAATTGGGTATAGAATGTGTATACTTAAAAATTTAAGTGAGTTGATTTCATGTTTTTTTACGACAATAAAAATAAATTGTAAAAAGTTTAAAAATGCATAACATTTAATTTTATATAGTTCTAGTGATTTTATAGTAAGGTGTTTGAAGATTTTCCTGATTTAAATTTGTGTTGGAATCACATAATTTATTTGAAAAAAGACATCTGGCAACCATTATGATAATCTTTAAACTCGCATTTTATCTTCTGCTCTGTGCTGGACATTGTGAGTAGTACCTAGGAAATGTGACCCCTACTTTTAATGGACATATAATTTATTTCTACAGTTATAAGTAATACACATAAAATAACCAATGTATATATTATATAATAATATATATAATATATAATATATAATGTATATATTATATTATATATATATATAAGGGAGAGCCCTTACCAAATGGTCAATTGTGTGATCCTAATATTTGGAGCCATTAATGTTGAGAATGAAAGGATTCGGTGTGGACTGGAGAAATTACAGAAAGTTCCATTGATGAAGACTGTATTAAGTTATATCTAGAAGAAATGGAACTTTCCGGAAAACAGTAAGAGATTAAACTAGGTAACATAAACAGGGTAAAAACTAATATCAGGAAATTTTTATGATTCACACTTTCTTAAATATGACTTCTGAAAATTGAAAATGAGTAAAGTCATTACCCCTCTCCTCTGACTCAATAGCAAGTGTGTGTGTGTGTGTGTGTGTGTGTGTGTGTGTGTGTAGATATGAAAATCCCCTTCAAGAAGATACTGCATGCAATTTTCTTTATCAGGTATTTCCCATTAGATTCAGTTTTTAGTGTTGATATGTTATGACTCAGTAGATCATATCATATTTCACTTAATATCTCCCCAACTTTCAAAGATCACACCTGCTACATGTATGAGATCTTCAAACAACATAGAATTCAGCTTTTCAATTTAAGATACAAAATAGTCATTTATTTTGTTGATATTTACGAATACTAGCAAATAAATATCTTATTTTTTTCATTTTTCTTTAATTAATTAATTAATTAATTTGATGCCTCACTAAATTATCCACTCAGCAAATATCTAACCACATACCATGTGTCAGTCTTCTAAATGCTGATCCTTCAAAAATGAAGTTTCTCTATAAACTAAAAATAGAACTACCATATGATCCAGCAATTTCATTATTGGGTATTCATCCAAAAGGAAGTAAATCAGTATCTCAAAGGGATACCTGCACCCCCAAGTTTATTGCTGAACTATTGACAATAGCCAAGGTATGCAGTCAACCTAAGTATCTATCAATGGATGAAGAAAATGTGTTATATATACACAATGGAATACTATTTAGCAATATAAAGAAGGAAATTCTGTCATTTTTTCCAACATGAATGGAACTGGAGGTCATTATGTTAAGTGAAATAAGCCCAGCACAGAAAGACAAATATATCACATGATCTCACTCATATGTGAGACCTAATAAAGTTGGTCTCAGAGCTAATGGAGGCAGACAGTAGAGTGATAAGTTGCCAGAGGCTGGGAAGAGGGGTGATAAAGAGAGCTTGGCTAATAGGTACAAACATACAGTTAGACAGAAGGTATAAGTTGTGTTCAATAGCACAGTATAGTGACTATAGTTGACAATACATTGTGTATTTCAAAACAGCTAAAATGTTTGAGATGTTCTCAACACAAAGAATAACAAATGTTCAAGGTGGTGAATATCCTAAATACCCTGATTTGATCATTAGACGTTGTATGAATGTATTAAAATATCACATATACCCCATAATATATACAATTATTATATATCAATAAAAATTTTAAAAAGAAAATTTCTTGGCCGGCGTGGTGGCTCACGCCTGTAATCCTAGCACTCTGTGTTGCTGAGGTAGGAGGATCGCTTGAGCTCAGGAGTTCGAGACCAGCCTGAGTAAGAGCAAGACATTGTCTCTACTGAAAATAGAAAAATTAGCCAGGCATCTTCGTGAGTACCAGTAGTCCCCTTTAAAATATAAAATTGAATAAAATAATAAGATAAAATAAAATGAAAATATCTTGACTCTGAACAGCTTCATAATTAAGTCTGAAGGAAAGAGGTATAAAATGTGTGTCAGATGTTAAAAATATACATGTGCATATAAACTAGTAAAGGGACTTATATTAAGTGATGCATAACTACAGTTGGGACTAGAAGGAACTACAAAAGGACTGTAATAAACAGTAAGTTATATTCCATCAGGAACAGAAAGAGTGCTTGGGCAATATAGGAAGAAGAACATGCATAAGCAAAAACAAAGAAAAAGTTGTTTATAGGTAGCGAAAAGGTTTTTTGGTGAATCAATATTGTAATTTATGATTGGCTACAACTGGAAATAAAGCTTTAAAGAAAATTTAAGAAAATAGAAGAACCTTATATCCACGTTAGACAGACAAGTTTAGTACATAAAAAGTTTTATGGAATTAAAGAAAATAAGCCCTGTGTGAGAGAAAAATTGAGGAAGATACCCTTTTGAGGAAGTGCTTTAACAGGACTCTCCAGTGCTTTGTTCTGGGGCATCAGCCAGCCTGCTTGAGAAGCACAGGGAGCCCTGAGGACTTAAGACCCCCACCCCCACGCCGGCCACAGTGTTGGTGCAGGACACAGCAGCCCGCAGTGGCAGATCTTAGGGCTTACATCCATGGATTCCTGTCTGTGCAATAGTAGTTAATATTTATTAGAGTTAACTACTGATAATGAGCGGTGGCTGAGTTCGTTTCTCCCCAACAGTGGAAGACAGCTAT